CGAACTGCTTAGAATGTTAACAACCGGTTTTAGCGAACTGGTAGAATCCCACCCCTGGGTAGGGGAGTCTTCTGTTAAGTGTGAAAAAAGTGCTAAAATAAGATTATTCTTCACTTGTTTTGTAAAAAACCTAGGTTCTGGCAAATGACATGCCAATGCAAATAGAGACATTGACATAGTAACAGGCTATCTATATAGGCTGAAACATTTATAGAGACAGTGACTAGCCATAAAAAGGTACAAGTTACTTTTTTGTGTTTGATATGTCTAACCAACATGTGAAAAAATATCAGAAATGGGATATGTTTTCCCAGTTATTAATATAAAAGTCTTTCATGAAATCTCGACCATCAGAAAGGTTGATTGAAGAAGAGTCAATGCCTTTGAAGCATCTTGCTAGAGAAAATTATTGAGAATACTGTGGATATCAGTAGCAATAGCACTTGTAGTATACTGCTCCATAATGCTTTACAGCACTTTGAGTGGTTTACAAGTTCAGCATATTGCCCCCCAAAAATCTGGGTCGTCATTTTACCGACCTTCGGAAGAATGGAAGGGTGAGTCAACCTAAAGTCCTGTCAGGATCGAACTCCAGACCGTGGGCAAAGTTAGCTGCAATACTGCATTCTTACCACTGCGCCACCAATGCTTATAATGGACTACAAGAAGAATATATTATTCAATTCTACATGAAATTAAACAGGCTGCTCAGTGGGAATGCTGATAATGTAGCTTAAATATGTGGAGTACGTAAGTGGAGCACATAATATGAATCCTTGGAGAAGACCTCAGTCCTTGGAAGAATGAAGGCAATTGAAAAAGAGTGACAAAAGATAAAGTCACTAGTTACTGATACTGGAATGATTTTAGAAGACCTCAAAGAAGCATTGACAAAATAATCCTGGCAAAATAATGTCCATTGAATCACAAAGAAGCACCTGAATGACTGAACTGTCACATCAAAGTATAATTCACTTATGTAATCAATATAGCTTTATGAAATTCAGTCTTTAAATAGCATCAGGTATAATGTGTACTTCAGTAGTAGCCTGCATGTACATTCTGCAAACCTGTAAAATGCAAAGTGAGCTATATAAAATGTTTCTTCTTATGTATTAACTTGGAACAGCAAAAGTGAAATTTTCTCTTTGCAAATAATAGAGCTCCTGGATTGCCTATGGAAATGAAACTAAGATGTAGGATAAATTGAAATTAAATACATTGATGATATGCCCACAAAAAAGCTCATTCCAATTCGTGATGCTTGTCTTCATGATGCAGAAGATACAGTAGTCTTACTAGGAGAAAGATCTCGAAAATTTGATAGCACATGACATGAGATCCTTCAAGTTTGGAGAAAGGTGCATGACTACTTTCCTTGAACTGTGAAATGTGATTTATTCTAACACAGAAATAGAGGGGGACCACTAAGTCCAGCTTCTGTTGGGTGCAAGAATCCAAATTCAAACATGAGCAACAGATGGCTGTCTGGCCTCCATGTGAATAAATCTAGTGAAGAGAAGCATGCACTGGATAATTGATTTCAGTAGATAATTGATTTCACTGGGCAATTGGTTCCACAATGTTATTGCTTTTACTATTAGGCAGTTTTTATTTTAACATCTAATTAGGATCCATTTACCTGTAATTTAATCTTTATTTTGTATCTTGTACTGTATCTTGTACTGTATTGTATCTTGTACATATAATGGAGACCTTCCTTTGACTGACACCCTTTCAGGTATTTGAAGAGTAATGTTCTACTCCCCTACACTGACAACTTTTCAAAGCTAAAAATTTAGTCTCTTTGAATGCCATAGTTTTTAGTCCCTGGTTACTTTTCTTGTGAATTTATTCATTTTTGTAAAATCTTTTTAAAGAACAGGTGCTTGAAAGTCGTTTTTTTGAGCAAAGTAGAATAGTTTCCTACAGTTTCAAAACTATGCTCATGTTGATATAGTCTAAAATTGCATTTGTCTTTTTTGAAGTCACATCGCACTTCTCTCATCTTCCTTCCTTCCTTCCTTCCCAAATATTCTTCTAAGCCTCATATACTGTATTTTTAAATCTGTGAATTTAACTTTTGAATTAAAGATTTTACATTTGTCTTTGTTTAATTTAATGATTTTAACTTTCGGCCCATTTTTCTAACCTAATAAGATAATTTTGGATTATATCATTACCTTCTAGTATATTGATACCACCCAGGGATAAACATAAAACGTTGGAGGAGCTGTTGCAGCTCTTCAGTAAGCAAACAAATTTCTTAGATCTATTTTCCCCGCTTCTTTTCAAAATTTAGATGCTTCCTACCTGGATCCACTTGGACCTCAAGCTGAGAGACCAAAAACAGCACTAAGGAAAAAAATGGATGAAGATGAGTTTGCTGATGAAGATGTAGGCGATGATCTGCTTCCAGAATAACTTTTTAGACCAGTTCAATTATTTTTTTAAAGTTCCAAAAGAAAAAAAAATCTTAATAGAGATTTATATTTATTTGAATACTATATATATATATGAAATCTTTATTTTAAGTAAAGTTTTTATAGTAAGAATTTAAAATCTCGTGCATTTATTATCAATCATCTTTTATCTCATATCTTTTATGCTCACCCAGACCACCTAAATGATGATCTCAATGGGACCAGTGAACAGGCTAAGGCTGAAGCATTAAGCATCTTTATATCATAACTCATGTATTTGCCTTGATAAGCATAGCATTTTGTTGGAGAGCAATTGCTGATCCTAAGATGTCAACTTGAAGTATTGCCACCGAAGGGAAAGCTTAAGAGGCAAGCCATGGGTGGTGGGACATCAGGCGTGGAAGCCAAAAACAATGGTGATGGCAGGTGGATTTGTTAATCATATCAGCCCTTCCCAGCTCTTTGTGGCCGATTCAGGAGAACCATTCCAGGGTATTTGGTGGGATATTTTAGAAAATGAATTGAGAATATCTCATAATATCTATGGAGATAAATTACAATTTTAAGTGATTTGTTTGATTACATTTTACCACAATTGATCCATGTTTTCCAAACTGCAAAATGTGAAATCCCTGCCTTGTACATGGCAAGATTTTATATAGATCTGTGCACATGAGATTTATTTATGCCAAGATATGAAAATGTCAGAATATTTTTAATCAAGTAGAGTTGTTCCTTATTGTAAATTAAGCCATTTTCTATAAATCATCCTATATCTGTAAAGTTAATTTTGTTCTATAATTTTCTCTGCATCTGTGAAAAAACTGCAGCACATCATCTGCCAATAATTGGGTCTATCAATGTTCAAATTTTTGGAGTCAAGTTCATTTTCTGCAGAGATTGTCGGAATTACTCCACAAACTAAAGTAGGAAATTAGTATTGAGCACATCTAAGAAATGATAGATTTGAATAAAAAATCTAAGGGGATGTTTCAGAGCTTCACTTTTTCTAATTAGCTAATAAATAATTAACTGACAGATTTGGAAAAGCTTACATATTTTTCCATGCTTACTAAAGCAGCCCTATTGTATGATAATCACATCCAGCTTTAGGGAGTCGTAATTTAGATATTTGCTGGATTTGTAAGTTAGCAAAACCCTTTTGAATCTATAGAGGCCTTTTATTTTCTGCATCTTTGTCATTATTTGGAAAGTGTAGAAAAATGGAGCAATGCCCAAATATCGTCCTTTGCAGTTAATAATAAGTTTTCATTAATTACACATATTTCATTACATAAAGCTTTAAACAAGAAAAAAAGCAAAACTGGGATAAATTAACCTTATGCTATTTAAAACATGTTTCCATGTTTACAGGTGATTTATTGACATTTTAAAGATGAATAAAAACTATTTTAGAACAGCATTGCCTTTTTAAAATGTTTTCAATTTGCACCATGTTACCATTTATAGGCAATTATATCAGAGCAAGTTTGGGCAATCATTTTGTTTCTAAACATGCAAATGCACAGTCACACACAAAAATAAGCCATACATTTAAAGTGCTCTGTAGGTAACTCTCTCCCAGTCATGGATCTCGTACCTCCTTGTAGTAATAAGCACAAATGAAAACATTGGGATTTGTCTCCTGAATGGTACCCTCTGCTGTAAGCCATTATAATATCATGGTCACCATCTATCTCAATGGACTGCAGATGCACCAATGCAGAAATTGGTATGTGAGCTCTGGAGAGAAAGTGGAACTAAAAAATATTTACAAGTAACTCATATTTCCAACCGCCATGTGAGCCAACAATTATTTGCTTTGTTACAGGGGGATTCCTCACAGAAAGCTTTGCCAAAGGTTCTTAGCGTACAGATAGTTCTTGAATTAGGACCACAATTGAACCCAAAATTTATGTTGCTAAGTGAGACATTTCTGAAATGCATTTGGCCCCTTTTTATCATCTTTCTTGCCACAGTTGTTAAGTGAATCAATGCAGTTGTTAAATTAATAACATGGGTTGTTAAGTGAATCTGGCTTCCCTATTGACTTTGTTCGTCAGGTCACAAAAGATGATCACGGGAAACTGCTACTATCATAAACACGAGTCAGTTGCCAAGCAGCTGAATTTTGATGATGCTATCATGGGGATAGGGTAATGGTTGTAGGTTTGAAAAATGGTCCTAAATCACTTTTTTCAGTGCTGGGTTGTAACTTAAGTCACTAAACGAACTGTTGTAAGTCAAAGACTACCTGTATATTTCTTTACTTGTCAAGACCCAGTTTATATGACTCCAAATTTCTTTCTAAAATGGTGCATCCAGATTAAAAAAACAAACCCTACTTAAGCACCAGCCATCTTGTCCTCTCCATCCCCCTTTTTTGGGAGGTGGGGGGTGGGGGGTGGGGTTGTACCCGCGTTGAATCAACAGCTCTAAGTAAATCGAAATTTGACTACAACGTTAAATTATCGGTTAAATTATTTTTGTCCTGGGGCTCCGATGCAAGGTGAAGTCCCCAACGATACCCTCGGGAAAGGACCCGGCGTTCCCCGCTTCAGTCAGCCCAGCGAGGGAAGCGCTCGAGCAACCGGCCCTTTCCCTCAGGCGCCTTGAAGGGTCCTGGCATCAGCAGCCGGGGGTCCTGCTGTGAGAAGCCGGGCGCTTTTCCAACTTTTCCTCCGCTCCCCCCCGCCCCCGGCACCTCCGCCAGGGCCAGGAGAACCTCAAGCGCTCGCCAAGCCAGTCTTCCCCGCCGCTCCGCGCGCTGAGGCGTCTCTGCCATGCAGACGGGCAAGGTAAGGACGGCGCGGGAACGCGTGTCGAGGCTGGGAAGACTCGGGGCGACGCCTCTTTTGACCTGCCCGCGAATGCCAACTTCGACCCGATGGGTTCGGAGGCCGTTTTGCTCCGGCCGGGATCGCTTTGCAAACGTGCGCTCTTGCGCTCCTTCCCTGTTCGGCATCGCGGGCAAGTGGGACGCCCAGCCACCGAATCGCTGGGCTTCCTTTCGCCGTCTCTTTCTTCTTCTGCGAGCTCGCGTGGGAAATAAACGAGTGGGCGTCGGGGTAAAATGAAGGCGCAGGCAAGGCGCTCTTGGGACTTTGGGGTGCGCGCAAAACGGACGAGCAAAGTAAAAGCGCGCCTTTGGAGAGATGGGCTGGCGGCGGTGAGTAAAAGTGGAGGAACTGCCGCGGATGGCCACGGTTGGCTCATGGAAAGTAACAGGCGGGGAATAAGCCGAGAAGAGCCGTCGGCCTGAACGAGCCCCGTAGATCCTCTCTGTGGCAAGAGAACGGCATTGCTTTCCCACTTGTAAGAGCCGCTGATCGCTTGCGTGATGCGAATACTTTATTTATTTATTTATTTTATTTATTTTTGTCAATTGCTTACAAGATAATAGGTATAAGTAAAAACATAGTTATGAATACATGGATGCATATAAGAAAAATAAAATAAAAGAAACAATAGGACAGGGACGGTCGGCACGTTGGTGCGCTTATGCACGCCCCCTACAGACTTCTTAGGAAAGGGGTGACAATCTAAGGTTAAAGTTTTTGGGGTTTGGGGAAGAAACCACAGAGTCAGATAGAGTATTCCAGACATTGACCACTCTGTTGCTGAAGTCGTATTTCCTGCAATCAAGTTTGGTGCGGTTAACCTTGAGTTTGTATCTATTGTTTGCTCTTGTGTTGTTATGGTTGAAGCTGAAGTATTCATTGACAGGTAGGACATTGCAATGTATATACTATACTTAGATCGGACCAAAGGCGGCATAGTTCTAGGTTTTCTAGGTCTAGAATTTCGAGTCTGGTGGCAGAAGGTATTCTGCAACGAGTAGAGGAGTGGAGAACTCTTCTTGTGAAATATTTCTGGACTTTCTCAACTGTGTTAATATCAGATATGTAATGTGGGTTCCAGACTGATGAGCTGTATTCGAGTATTGGTCTAGCAAATGTTTTGTATGCTCCAGTTATTAGTCTAATATTACCAGAGAAATTTTGGTGCCCTGTTGTAGCTGATCTTATCAACCAACTGTTCTTGAGTCAATTTCTAGCAACAATGGGCAGTTTCAGCTAGAAACCAAAAAGGTAGAAAAGAACACTTGAATTAAAGCAAACGTTGCAATAGGACAAGAATCCAAACTAAAGCATCATTTTTGTAAGATGCTAAATAAGGTGTAGGTGCAAAATTCAACATGTAAACTATTTTAATGGGCATTAAGGCTCTGCAATGCCTCAACTGTGATTGTAAAGAAATATTCTGGACAGTGAAAGCTTTACAGGTCCTGTATTTGTGCTCTAGCACTTTTTTGAGCTATATTATATTATTATATATAATATATAGTTATGTCATACTTATATTATACTAATTATATTATATAATATTATATAAGCTATATTATTCACTTGTTCATTCAATTTCTATAGCTACCCATCTCAATGACTCTGGATGGCTGTTTCCAAAGTATTGTACAATCCTGATATATTGTAGAACCAACAAGAATTGGTATAAATTGCACTAATTGGTTGTGGGGTTTTTTAGGATTTGTCCCATGTGGCTTCAGGGTTTGCTGGGAGGGTGATCCACTTGGACTTGGCTAGTTCTAACAGTATTACTGTCAGTACAATAGGGATTTGTTTATTAGCCAACATTACAAATCCTGGTCCTGATTAAGGCTGTGAGTGTAGAAGAAGAATCTGAAGATGGAATCAAAAGGGGATTCTCTACCTAGCCACAAATGGACTGAGTCCAACCACTCTTGAGTTCCAGCATCTAAACTCCCTGAAATTTGTCTTTTCTGCATGTCAAATTCTGCAACATTTTTGTGTGTGGGGGGGGGGGGGAGATGAATCCATTTCTCCTCCAGCTAGAAATATCTTTTATATTGTTTCATCTCCTGATCTTTACAGGGATGGATACTGTTTTCTCTACTTTTGTGTGGGTTGGATTCCCCCGGAGTAGAAGCTGTCAAAATAAGCAAGCGCCCCATGCGCTCTCGATCCTGTGCAGACCGACCTGAGGAGCTTTTAGAACAGCTATATGGAAGACTCACAGCTGGCATGCTTAGTGCCTTCCATCACACCCTGCAGTTGGAACCCCTGGAAAATGACCAGAACATCAGTTGTCCAGTGGGAGGCAGGCTAACTACTGACAAGAAATATCAGCTCCCCATCTATCTCAACAGCGTCTCCCCTTGGTCCTACAGGTAACCTTATCTCCTCCTCCTTAGCTTTCAAATTTTTAAGTGAATTTAGGTGGAAGTGTTTTACATTTCTGCCTCCTTCCTAGAAAAAGTGACTGACCCATGGTTTCACATCCACAGCAGTCTGCTAGTTTCTAGCATGGTGCTTCAACTGCTATAGCCAACAAGCTTTCATTTTACATAAAATATGTGAAATAAGCCTAAATTTCTTTATAATCCATTAAAAACAGTTAAAGGAAGGAAGAAAAAGAGTTGGGTTAAAGTTAATATTAAGAATATGAGAGGTGCAGTTCTGTTAGACAATATTTACTCATAGCAGCCAGTCATCAATTCATAGTTACTTTTCTTTTTTAAAAAAAAATGTGTATGCAATCCATTTGCACACGAGGCATAAGTTTTTCCAGTTGGCAGTGGCTTTTCTATGTATTTTTATTTGTAAGCTGTCTAGAGTTGGCAGGGAGTCAGGCAGTCTAGAAATAGAATGAATGAATGATAAAATAAAATAAATCGGGGGTTGCCAACCTTTTGGACCTCAGGGACCACCAAACTCATAATTTTAAATCCCACGGACCAGAGACCCTGGGAAAATCGCCCTAATTTTAAATCCCACAGACCAGAGACCCTCAGGAAAATTCCCTACCCTGTCTTCCTACCGATCGATCTTTATTTGGGATCATAGGATACCAGCTCCAGCTCCATTCTCAGTGGGACAGAGAGAGAGAGAGACTTTTGGCTTCATGCAAGGAAAACAGCAGAAGCAGCAGAAGTCTTTCTCTCCCACAAACTCCACCAGAAATGAGTCTTTGTGAGACTTGTCATGCCAGTGCAGCTTCTTGGGGCAGGATGCCTTGAAGGGTCCCAAAGACTCATTTCTGGAGGAGTTTGGGGGAGAGAAAGAAAGACTTTTGCTGCTTTCCTTGCATGCAGCCAAAAGCAGCAGAAGAAAGCAGCATCCCAGTGGCCAGGCCAGGCATGTGGGGCAAGTTCCCCCCGACCTTCCCCCTCCCCTTACTACCTCGTGTTGTTTACAATGCAAGTGACGCAAGCCTTGTGTTCCACAGGCCATGTGGGCGGCACAGCCTTGTGTTCCTGCGCAGCCTGGATTAATTGCTTTGGGGGGGGGCATTTCTCTGCAGACCAGCAAAATTTTCTCACGGACCACCAGTGGTCCCCAGCCCACTGGTTGGCAACCACTGAAATAAATAACACAATAGGAAAGGGGGGTTGATTGTGCAGTTGTGCCCATCATCTCCAAATGTTTCCATGTTGATGCTTGATCCAAACCAGAGAACTCAACTCACATTATTCCAGGTGAGAATAAATTGTCCAGTTCTTTGCTTACATTTCAATGTTTAAGCAGAGTTCAAGAACTGCAGCTGCTCGTTTTCCCCTTGGCCTAATAACACCATGATATTGTAAAGACCACCTCAACATTCTGCTATACATTCTGCTATTTCAACCCATGAAATAGAGGGACAAAGAACAGCAGGAGAGGTAAGAGGGGAAATTGGGACAAAATGTCCAAAGTGAATCTTTCTTCTTTTCTCTTGACACAGAATCTCCTACGATTCTACCAGGTATCCAAAATACATTCCTGAAGCCTACTGTCTGTGCAAGGGCTGTCTTACAGGTGATTATGGAGAAGAAAACCTCCATTTTCGAAGTACGCTAGTATTTATGCCAACTGTCATCTTGCACCGAACTACATCCTGCACTGGTGGCCGCTACGTTTACACCGAGGATTACGTCTCTATTCCTGTGGGCTGCACCTGCGTACCAGAACATGAAAAAGAAGCACAGCAAGTGAATTCCAGCATAGATAAAAGAGCAGTAAAATTGCTGGGGAATCAGAATAATGACAAGCCAGCATCCAAATAAGGAATGGAAAGGAGGGCAGAAACAAAGGATGTTTTGGCTCATGATTTCTGTTTTAGAGAACTGTAATCTCCACTTTCTGTAACAGAGTTCATCTCGGTTTATTTCACAGAACTTCGGGGTCAGTTGTAATTAAAGTTGTACTTCCTTAGAAAAAACAGTGGGGTTTGCAAGATGCTTTTCTCACAACTGGAGATTTGACAGATCTTGGGGAGTTGCAGTACTGTAATGCTCGAGAGCACTTACGTTGAAGCATTTTAAGATATTTAAAAGTGCTAGATAGATGTTCTATATTCCAGTGCTTTGCTATCAAATATTCAAGATATGCTGAGCAGGGATGCAGCATTGATTTTTGTGTATAATAACATCTTGGTTCATCTGGTTTTGGATACAATGGACAAACTTTTCATTTGGATTGTTTATCCATCAAATGAAGTTTTTATTGAAAATTATGCTATTGTATCAATTACATAACACACATGACATATATTAATGCAAATGACAAATTCAGAGTTTACAAACATTCAGACTTAATGGATGCCCCCTCCCTATGAAATCAATGTTTCTTTGCACTTTCTCTACGTCCTGTAGTGAGGGCCACTGAGAATGAAAGCAAAAACAATGTAAGTGAATAATTAAAACATTTTTTCAAAGAATGCTGAAAAATTAGCTGTGTATCTGCAACTGATTTTTTTTTTAAGTGTAAGTAGCTTTGACTTGGTATAGACAAGAGAATCTTATATTCTGGACCAAAAGAGTCGAACAAGGTATTGTGTCAAAAGCACTAGAATTATAACATTAAAACTGTTAAAAACTATTGAATACATTAAGCATGCTGATGGTTACCAATTTAAATGCTTTTTAAAAAGGGATTCAATAAATGTGTAGAGAATAGATCTGTCAGTGGCTACTGATCTTGGCTGTTTATTACCTCTAGCAGAAATGTACTAAAGGGGTGGTAGGTGGGAGTTGCCAACTATACAAACATTTACTTATCAATCGATGTTCATAGAATAAATAACCATTGTTCAAAAACATTCAGATTTGGGTTTTACTTTAAGTTTGGGTTTATATCCTAATTTGGCTAGCTATAGCTCTGGGAATAAAGTGATCCCGAAACATCATCTGTGCTGGAGCCAATCTTGCCATCTACACTGCAAGAGATGACCTCAATCAGGCAACTTTCAGCTACACTGCAGTAGCTGGCCAAGTCATGAAGAGCCCCAATTTGGAGAAAGCTGCCTGTGACAGCGGTTACTTCTTGTACCATTGTGAAAAGCAAAATATTGTCTGGTTTATGAGCCCTTTCAGACGCCTGGAAATATGCCATTTGCCTCGCTAAACTATTTTAATTTTTGGTAGAAGCTTTGGGAATACATAAATGAACATCAATAAAATGAAATCGTGGAGAGTTCAAAACAAAACAATACAAAACCAAAGGGAGACAAATGTGCTTTGGCATTCCTTATTCAAAAGAGAGAAGTGGCCGAATTCAAGGAAAACATGAGCCAAGCTCTTGAATAGCAAACGTTCTCTGAATTGTGTATGCACAAGGCATCTGCCAATACCTCCTGACACAGCAAGATGCAGAAAAAACTTCTTAGCCCTGTTTAATCATTTCAAACTCCTTTTTCCCCAACTGCAAATAACAGTCGAAATCAGCACTTCTCAAATTGATTTCTTTTCCAAATTATTCATTGGTGACTATCCTTGGAGCCATCTGTTTGTAGCAGCTACAAGGCAGGAGGATGGCTAAGGTGGGAAAGAAGAGCAAACTGACAAAGGGGTGATTAAATCTGCATTTGATTGGGAATTGGGCCTCACTTTCAAAGAGGGACTAAATTCCCATTTCCATCATTCCATCTGTCTCTCCCCCCCACCCGCCCACTGTCCATAAAATTCAATAATGAAATTTGACAATTTTAGTGTCTGCAGCCAAGTTTGGGAATGAGACTAGTTAGCTTCTAAAAAACCTCAAGTTTTTATTTATACCCTTATTTTTTGCAATAGAAATAAAAAGTATACTATAATGCTTAATTTTAGCTATGGAATCTCTCCCCCTCCTCCCTCCCCCTCTCTTTCTCGCTTCTTTCTTTCTCTTTCTTTTTCTTTCTTTCTTTCTTTCTTTCTTTCTTTCTTTCTTTCTTTCTTTCTTTCTTTCTTTCTTTCTTTCTTTCTTCTTCTTCTTCTTCTTCTTCTTCTTCTTCTTCTTCTTCTTCTT